ACGTTCTCCTCCAATCGGCGACCAAAGTCAGCCCTCTCGCGTGACTCAGCTCTTTCCAACGATCGGTCACTGCCGCAACCGGCAGCATGGTCCCGAGCAACAACTTTCGGGGTCAACTTCCCCGACCGGCGCCATTTGAACGAACGCCCGACCGCCAGCTGATACATGCTTTCCTGCCTAGTTTCCGATCAGAAATGTGTCATACGGCGTAGAGTTGAGGACTTTGCTGGTTTCACCGAAGTTTTTCTTTTCATCAAATGTCACAGACTGGCGGAGTCAAAATGTCGAAGCGGAGACTGGCAATGTTGTCGTAGTTTGCCAGGCAACGTTATTTAGGATAGAGAGCGCCACGCCTTTTGTGCAGCATGTATTGCCAAGGCAGCTGACGCCCAACAGTGACACCAGTAAAACGCCTTTTGGGCGAAGAACGAGCGAGCGAGATAGTGAGCCCTGCACGTGCGCAAGGGCGAGAGGGTACTTCCAACGGGCTTGTGCAAAGCACCCTTCTAACCGGTCGCCAGCGGTGTGCCAAATTTGAACGCAATCGGCCCAGCCGTTCCTGAGATCTGGAAGCGACATTATGCACGTGCGCACGTGCAAGCGGGGTCCAAACTGACTTTTGCACGGCACCCTACTAACTGGTCCCCAACCGTGTACCAAATTTGAGCGCAATCGGCCCAGCCGTTCTCGAGATCTGGGAGCGCCCCCTGCACGTGCGCACGTGCTGTAGCACCCCAACCCAAGAAAAAATATCTAATGCGGGCGTAGTCTACCAATATGAGTGCATGTGTGAGAAAGTTTACATAGGTGAGACAGGGAGAAGCATAAAGACGAGAGAAAGCGAACACAAGAGGGCGATCAGGAATGGGGATGACAACCACTCGGGTATCTCGAAACATGTTTTGGAAACGGGGCACAGTATTTAATGGGAGGAGGTCAAAATTCTGGCATATGAAACGAACTGGAGAAAACGAAAGATATAAGAGGGCATATTTATAGCTAAAACGAACGAATCGACTATAATGAACACGAGACCAGGGGTGCCAATGAATGATGTGTATCGTGTGATTTAAGTCTTAGCGGTGTGTGGATGGGTGTTTTTAGGTGTTTCTTTGTAAAGAGGTTGCTGGTCGATTATGTGATGTGTGTACCTATTTTCAAAAAATTAATGAAACTATGTGACAATTGTACTTAAAATGTGGCGCACTCATTTCTTGCCCTATACCTACGATTTTGACCTCGAACCGAACGACATATTAATGTTTTGTATTACTGTATTTTAGTGTTTGTTTGACTTGGCTGAAGAAGGGAGCCGAAGTGCTCTCGAAAGCTCCCAATAAAACTATATAGCTGGTGTTAAAACAACGTTTTTACACATTAATTATGTCCCAGCTGAATAACAACATATACAACTACATACCTACTTTGTTCAGCGCGCCACCTCGGAGGCAGGCTATTCAAGTCAAGCACCCAGGCGGGAAATGAAAAGCATCATGTCTGGGTATATCATAATTCGCAGGTACTCAATCCACCAAAGCGCCTGGAAATACGTATCACTTATACCGAGGGACACCATGGCCATTAACCAACCATGACATTTAACGGAGAAAATGACGTGACTTTACGGACTAACTTTAGCAAGTGACATCTCCTCCAAGCTCTGGCAGCGTTGCGTTAAATGCCGCGCTAAACTGTGCCGTCATCAATCACTGTGGAACATTCAGCCCGCAGCACTCTCCACCTGGGGTTGGAGGGCGGGCCATGTCGTGATGGGCGTCACTAACCGAGCCAGCCGAGCACCGGCACCACTTAGCGCGCCGGTCGTCGGTGGGTCGGCCGGTGGGCCGGACGGAAGGGTGAGGTCCCGCCGGTGGGAGAGACGGATGGGTGAGGTGACCTCCGCTGGACGGACCCCGATAGTCACAGCAATCATCACCAGTTCCTTGCGTCCGATACAGTCGTAATTAAATGACAATCGTCAACGGTTATGAACAGTCCAAATCACTCAGCACCACACAATGCCACCGCTACATGATTCAGTCAATCAGTCACCGTCCCAGTCCTACCCAGTCACGTTTCGCGGCGGATTCAGTCACGATCGCGCGTGTTTCACCACCATCGTTCACGATCCGTGAGGGGCGGTTGGAACGCTCCCAGTGATGGGTTGACCGGAGCCCACGTCGGGCTCAGGATCGTTTGTTAGTGCCGTGTGCAGTGTGGAGAGCGTCCATCAAAGTGTTGGACGTGTGGAACAATGGCCGCGATTCACACTCGGGAGTGTGGCAATCCGTGGACATGGCAACAACGGGTGGTGTGAGGTGAATAGTTCGCTGTCTACGGGGTCAGTGGGAACGTCGGGCACGTGCAGCGGCGGGTAAAATATCGTTGGGCAAAGCCATTCATAATAATCTCTCCGGCAGGAAACAGGAGCACATTAGTTTCCATGCAATGTAAGCTCACCAGATGCCATGAAAAAGTAAGCAGCATTTGAAAAGAACAAACCACAAAGTGTTCCAATTTTAGCGCCCCCTCAATTGAGGATTATGGGGACGCAGTTTGGAGTAACAACAGCTATGGTATTCAAAGAGCAGCTCAGTGGCTTTGGACTCCACTGAACGCTTTCCAACGTGACATAACTTCCTTCGATCGCCACCAATACCACTGATGCTCCTGTTACCTCCGCTGATCGACGAATGGTCTGACGCGTCATACATTCCGCCGACAGTCTGGAGGCGTCCTAAGGCCACGGTGCAATCCCATAATCACCGGGCAGTCCCCCGAAGTCGTGACATTACGACCAGCCCACCACAAATCTAGATCAGACCGGGGGCTGTCTAGCTGTCTCGATAATGTCTACTGCGGTCGGAGGGTAACCTCAGCGTGATTGAGACGGGGATTAGTCAGATTCACGGGCTAGGGGCACAGGGAACACATATGCTGGCCTGAAACCCCCGGTGATGATCATTTAACAGTAAAGATTGTTTGTTTGATTATTAGGGCTTTAGGGATTGGTAAGGATAAACACAGTGGTCAGTGAAGATAGGTGCGGACTTAGATAGGAGGATCACTGATCAGTGATCAGTGATCACCTGCAGGTCATAGGTATCACTCATCAAAATCATCACAAAATGAACAGATCATCGCATTGCAGATTGTATATTAGCCAATTATAACGACAGTCGTGCTGTGGATAATCATGAATCACTGGTAACTGTACCCAATCTGGCGGATAAGATAATAACTCATATCATTTTACGCTCAACCCACTAAATGAGGAAACTCGCAGCCAGCAGCTCTGACCGTGGAATAATGAGAGTAGCTCCTGTGATCCTACCCATGATGAGATGACTGCGAGCGAGGAACGGCGGACGTCAATGGCTGATTGATGTCGGACAGAGCGGTGTGGTGATCCCACATCAGTGGTATCGTGATATATTTGCCCGCCCGTCTCATATCGCTGATGTGACTGCGCAGTGACGAATGAGCTGCAACGCCCGGCTACAGAAAGGTCACCAGAGTACGGAGAGAATAGACACCGTTACCAAGCTACGGTGGTGCAGTGGAATCATACCACCTAGGATTAAATGAAAAATTGATGAGTTGCATCTTAATTTCACAGAAACTGCAGCCTTTCATTATGATGATGAGCACGAGTAAAGATTCGGAGGAGACAATTCGTCAACATAACACCATTCTACCTTATTCTACCTTCCAAAGGTTTCCTTTAAAACAAAAAAAATAAATGTTTTATCCGTAAAATGCTTCGGTGATCCAGATCCCACCCGCAATGACGTTCAGAATAGCTCAGCTGTTTCGTCAAAGGGCAGCGCTGCATGGAGGTCACCCAAGCAATGAAGGTATGCGATCAATTTGGTGGCCGGCCGGCGGCGCGCGGCCGGTCAAATTGAGCCTCCGTTGAGAGCGGCACCATCTCGGCACAGCTCATCAGGCGAAATCGCCACCCACCCCCACCCTGCCCACATAGGCAGGCATCACAATACCGGTGGGGAGACACGGTGCGCATTTACGCGAACCCGTGGAACGTGGAACGGTGGAAGGTGGGTGGAAGAGGTGGATGTGAATTGGGAGAGTGGAGGTGAAGCAGTTTGAAAAAGATCAGCAGCACGATTATTGTGGGTGGATCGGTGTATGTGATGCCGAGGAGGAAAAGTGGGTACACTGATCAAGACGAGAAAAGTGCAAAAAAAGAGAGTCAACAGCTAATCGACACAAATGAGAGCAGAGGGTGAAAAAGAGAAATTTAAACATCAATACGGCCCGGACAAAATGAAAAACAGACAATTCCTCCGTCACACGCAGGTGCTCCTACAAGCCGCGCTACCCTGAACCACCCTCTCACATCTGTGGCGGAATCCTCGCATCCGTCACTCGTTCCCTTTTCAGCAAAGCTCAGCATAAACCGACATTTCACACCTGTGTAAGAGAAAAAAGCTTCGGGCACCAGCTCCCGACCTTGTCAGTCGAGATCACCTGGGGCACGGTGATGTCACCCTCAGCACTGCCTCCCAGTGCCGTGACCACATGTGCAAACCGATCGATAAGGCACGAGCGCCGATGGGCCGCCCGGCCGCGCGGCGGCGGCGGCGCGCGGCAGAACAGTATATCAGTAGCGGCGGCGGCGGTGGCGGCGGTGGCAGAGAGCGCCAGCAAACGGTAGCCGTGTGCCACGCGGTGACGCTGAGCTTGGGCCAAACCGTGATTTGAGACGCCTCCAGTGATAAGTGCGAATCGTGAAAGTAAACGGTGATCAAGTGTGTAGTGCTTGAGGACGTGCAAGCGATATAGATAGTACCCGAGATAATTTCTAAAGACGGTGCAAGAACAATTTCAGGTCCCATCTCACAACGTCTCTAAACTCTAAAAATATTTGAATCAAGTTCATTCTCCGATATAATTAAATTAATTTTCGCAACAACATGTTATTAGAATGACGGACGATTAATTTGCCGAAAGCTCGTCGAACTGCCGTTCACGTTGGCAAAGGTTGTCAACAGGCGGCCCTATCCGTTAAGTCGTCGGAGTGATGGCGTTCTGCTCGCAACTGTGTCAGAAACTCAGCGAGTGGTGTCGGCCAGTCGACCCGGACGAGAAAAATGAGACAACGCGCCTCAGGGTCAAATGCCAAAACAGGTGAGAAGAACATGCGATTGCTGTGGCAGGTGTGCGTTGGGGGGGGGGGGGGGGTGAGGGGGTGAGGGGGTCACCCGTGCAATTACTTTATGGGCGGAAAAGGTCGTGATTCATGGACATTGCGTTACACCTCAATTTCGCTACTCATACCACCATCCGTCTCGAGAGTGACTGTGATGTGGTAAAAAGTTTGAAAAGGGGTTATAAAATGTCACCTGGCATTCTTCCGCGTTACTTTTTCGGTATCACTGTACAATCAATGATCATTAATTATTAGCAAACAATCACATTATCATCAAGCAGACTTTCGCTGAAACCCATGTAGATACCACAGACTGAAGTCCTCTAATGAATATTACAAGAGTTAGATAGATCGAGCGCGGCATTCTAGAGCACACAACAACTCGAGCCGTATAATTTCTTAGGCGCACACAATAGGCACATTTCAGTCTTTCTAGTGCATTTCTACTTTTCGAAATCAGGGAAAGATTTTAGAGCATTTTAAGCCCTATAATTCAACATCGCACATAACTCATTTATATTATTTTCAAACTTTAGTATCGATGTAATGACTGAAATTATCAATAAAGTCAGTGGTATCGATAGAATTAGCCGTTAAAATCCACGATCAAATATCGTGACTATAAACGGTCGGCAATTTTCCATTTAAAAACAATTTTTTTTTACAAAATAAGAGGAAAACAAGCTGGAGCAAGGTATTGCAAAACAAACTTCCACCCATCGCTGTCCAAGGCCAGGGACCCGTTCCGTTCAGTTTATTTACGGACATGGAGGCGGCCCTGATCCCACACTGCCGTCAGGACGCTATCTGCCGCCCTCCATGCGACCGCCACCTTTACCTTTGAGCTGGGCCCGATAAGGACAGTGTTGGCACTGATCCTGTCCTATCGAGCTGCATTCCACCGCGGACGCAGCGGTCGAGAGATTCACACAAATGGCCAAATTTCAGAGGCAAATTTGCACATCGAAAATAAATAACGCAGGAGTTTAAATACCTAGCCCTGGTAAAAAGTTGACTGAAAAACGTTGCATATCCGGGAACTCAGGCTTGTTTTTCAATAGAAAAAACATATTTCTAGCGATTAGTGTTTTTAACTATTGAGCACAAACCTTTGGTTATTTTGATAATTTAAACTTAAACCGATGCAAGATGTATAGTGCTTATCCAAAACAAGTTTTGTGCTATAAATGAATTCGACTTAAACATCGGCAGTGCTCCGGTAAGCGAAATAAAATCAGAACAAATACACAGTTTTCGGCGTTATAAGCAATTGTACATTCTCCGAGCAAAATAAAGAAACAAACGGAAATTCTCCATGCTTTTGCTTTTAATCAGAAAGGTTTAGCACTTCAAAAGTAATCGGTACTTTGTATGGGGAATGCCTATCATCGAAACAGTGCTGGTAATATATAAAAAAACTATTTTAGAAGTATTTAATCGGGCTATGTAAATCCGAACAGCTTATGACGCTCCTAAGATCCTAACTTCAAGCCGACACTACAATGCTGGGGTTACCTGACAGTTTAGCATGGTAATTGGTAAGGGTACCACCAGAGACGCTTTGTTTGAACAATATGCCTGCGCAAGCAAGGGCGGCCCACAAACATTCAGCAGCGCAATCTGCTTAAAGGAGATTTACCGCCAGCCGCAGTTTCAATTACTGTCTATCACCGGAGCAAGGTTCGTTTGTTTTTGCCCACCAACCACATCATAAAGCAATAAAAGACTCAGACGCCAACACGGGCCTTTCCACACGCTTAGGTCTATGTCACATGACGCAGCAGTGAACCTTCTATCGGGTCGGGTCAAACTCTGAATCAGGATAGGCATCACAGCTTTTCCGTCCCCGGTGTGACTCGTCCCCCTTCCGCTATGTCGCTCTCCAATCCCATCTCCCGTCCTCTCCATCTCCGTCCTTCTCTGGCCGTCAGCGTGTCGGCATAATACCATCCGCCGCTGTCTCATCCATCGCACCTCCATCTTCCTCTCTTCGCGCACCTCTTCTCCTCTCCTTCCCTGTTCCAATTAGCGGCTATGTACGCCACCACCTGCCACCCGGGTCCCGGTTACCCAGCGCATCGACCAGCCAGGGCCAATCAAGCAGCGGTGCGTTCCCACCGTTCATTTACCCGCTGGAGAGACCAAACACCCACGACTCTTCTGATGAAGGTGACACCGAGGCAACACGGGTGACAGCCGACAGGTGCTCTCTTTGGCGATAATGGACGCGGGAAAGGTGATGGCCGCTCTTTAAAAAAGTCAAAAAGGATATCGTGGAAAAAGGACGTGGTCGAGGAACATGATGTGAAAAACATGAAAAATCTCCATAATTAAAAGATGCTTCAAGAAAAGGCAATAATAACTCCTACAACGAGCATAATTCCCAAGTCTTTCCACGCATCCCAAAGCTCCTTTCCCTCATAACCGGCATCCAGTCGCACTTCAAAAAGACAATCATCATGCATCACTATAGAGGACGGACTGAGGCGGAGGTCAGGGTTCCGAGGAGACTCCTCGTGCCGCTGCCGCCCACAGCCACCTGTGGGTCGTGACCACCACACTGTGCCGCCAACACCTGGCAGCAATGTGTCAATCTGGTCTCGATCGATACAGCCGAGCCGCGAGCTGTGCACTGCCGACAGCCGGGGGGCGACACCCCGCGGACGGGGGGAGGGGGGGGCACCCGCGTGTAATGCGGACGGAACACTGCCGACAGACGGAGGGGGGGGGGGCGGCACCCCGCACACCGCGGAGCTGCCGACAGCCGGGGGGCGGCACCCCGCGCGGGACGGACATGGCAGGCACCGCAGCCGAACACGTAACAAGAAAAACACTGAGTCATTAATGAAAACGTTTCATTTTCATGAAAAAACGTTTCATGAAAATGATTCATGTTAGCGAAAATGATGCCAGTACCTTCATATAAAATTTCCAAACGGAAGACAACTGTTGATTCAGATTTAAACAAGATTACCTACAAAATATGCCCATCAGTCATGGCTAACCTAACGTTCCTCATAAATGCACCGAGTCGGACGCGGCGCCACCCGCGCCTGGTCCACTGAATGATCCTATCTCAAGATGCTCTAGCATCGATATCTCACTTCCGTCTCATTAAGAGCATATGAACCTCAGGATCGGTGCGTACCCTGGTTCTTCAGATCAAATATCGTCTATGCATGGTAAGCCCACGCAAACATCGTCCCGGCGGAAATTGACAGCCAGCTGCTGAATGAAATCAGATGCCCGCGTCTGAAAGGGTATTTTCAGTGGCGGCATTTTAAAATGCATTCCCGAGCCGTCGGCGCCGACACGAATTAGGTCACCGGAACCTCCAGATTGGCGCTAAATTGCCAGTGAAGACCAATAGTGTGCCATTGGCTGCCAGTATGCTGCACTCCTTCGTGCCGATAGCTAAACCAATAGAACTGATATCCTTGGTCCTATCATGTAGAGAGCTTAGCTTATCCATGTTGGGAGAAAGATACTAAGGTACTCCAGCGTTACAAATGTGTGGATTAGGTGCCCAAAAGGGAACCTAGGCCTTATTGCCAGCCACACCGGCAGCTTGATAACCAGGATATTCCAAAATATAGTGCTTCCTAACTAATCCAACCCAGAAGCTAGCAAGTGTCTGTATCAGCCTGCAGCTCAAAATACCTTACATCATTTTACTGACAACTAATGACCAACTAATGACTCTACAATCTGCCCTACATATAATACGCATCTCCCATTGCCAGGCACAACTCAGAAGCACTCGCCTTCTTACGCTCACGACGCCTCCCGCCAACACACCCGAGTGCCATTCTGATGACCCACACCGCCCGTTTCCAGGTACGTCTCGGACGAGGCGCTGCTGGACAGCTGCAGCGGTGCGGACGGAGTCAGTGGCGACTCCGAGCCGGACCTGACGCGGCTGACTCCGGGACTCGGAGTCGCGCCGGGACTCAGCGTGTCCGAGGCACACCTGGACCGCGTGCAGCCGCCCCGCGAGCGACTCTACCGACCGGACCTGGACAGTGCGTCTCAGAACGGCGCTCAGGACTTCGGCTCCGTGCCAGACATTACCGTCACTGCCGTGCCAGAGGTGAAGAAAAAGGAGAGCAAGGGTATCAAGGCCAACAATCTTCGACCCGATGTCATGCGACACGCACAGACCATCGCGGACATCTCGAAGTTCACGCTGCGTGACCTGAAGTCACAGAACAGCGAGAGGAGAGGATTCGCGCGGGCCAGTCAGCACGGGTTCGATCGATCGCACTACGAGAGCGCCGGCTCGCTGACCCGGGACGCCGCGCCGCCACCCAGCGCTGGGGTGGAGGACGCCAAACAGGCCAACGAGATCTACGGCAGCGTCACCATCGCCGCCAGCTTCAACCCGCACCTGAAGCGGCTGCTAGTGCAGCTGGAGTCGGTGCACAGCCTGCCGCCGCGCGGCCACCTCGCCTACGACGTCCTCACTGAGATCACCCTCCTCCCCGACTGCAAACCCGTCAAGAAGGCTCCCGTCGTCAGTGGCGACCTCAACCCGACCTACAACCTCGACTACGCACTACCGCTGCGTACTAAAGATCTCCGCTCCAAGACCCTGCGGGTGACTGTGCGAGAGGCTTGTCGTCTGGGTCCGTACGAGGCAGTCGGCCACGCGCTTCTATCACTAGACGGAACTGTCGGAGAGACGCCGGAGCGATTCGCTCTTCCTCTGACGCGCCGTGCCGAGCCGGATGACACCCTGGGCCGTCTGCTGGTCTCGCTCTCCTACCGGGCCGCCGACGATCGCCTCTCCGTGGTGGTCATGCAGGCGCGCGAGCTGCGCGTCTCACCATCAGTCCACCGTCTCCCACAGAAAACCTTCGAGAAGCATGCCAAATACGACACCTTTGTCAAGGCATCGCTCCGCTGCGCCGGCGAAAAGGTGAAGACCAAGCGATCGCCGGTGTTGGCCGGCTCCAAGGAGCCATTCTACAACGCTAGCTTCGGGTTCGTGCTGCCGCAAGGGTTCGTCGACGACGCCAGCCTGGTGCTGAGTGTGGTGATGCGCGGCCCGGTGCGTACCGATCTGGTCATCGGACGGGTGATCCTCGGCCCGTTCTTCAGCAGCGCCGGAGGTCAGCCCACCCAGTGGGGCCGCGCGCTCAGCACCAGTGATGTGGTCACACAGTGGCACAGGCTCTACCTCTGAGGCGGCGGTGGGCGCAGATAGGACGTGTCAGGACGGGGTAGCAGTGGCGGTATAAGGCTTCCAGGGATGTCACTAGCGGTGGCAGAGATAAGGTGCCCGGTCACTGGTGCCGTCTAAATGAACGATGGACAATGTATTGGTGATAGCTGTGAATGAGTGCTGTCCAAACTCAATAACTCCGGGTTTAATTCCTGGAGATACCCAACAGGACAATGTAACAGATGAGTGCAGGAATACTTTCCCAATCTATATCAACAACCCCAATCACGACTGCGTACAGTACGAAGCTAGCGACCCTACCACCGTCATTCTGTCAGGCGAAACTCGGGATGAATTCTGACAGAGCTCACGGCAGGGTTCCATAATAACCACTCCAACTCCAGGTTCTCCTATCGAGCCGAATCGGCCACGGATACCAGAGCCCCCGTCTCGCTAATCCAGCGCCTGGCCACCTCCATGGCCCAACTATGCGCACCAACTCCGTACGATATCATCCGACAAGATCCAGACGAACAGCACCGATAATCCCCCGTCAGGAACATGCCAAAACTGGCTCGAGGAGGCCTGCAGAGCGCCCCATATCGAGGTCTGTAGCGTTGGTGGATAGATAGAATCGTCGTTTCTCCGAGAAGTGTTAATAACGTCTCGCCTCTGACGGCAGGCCTCCAGAGACGGGCTATTATATGCCAGGGCCAGCTTTGTGAATCGCGGTAATGTAATAAGACCGAAACCAGACATCCGCCTTACTGAGATGCCATGCTTCTACGAAGATGCTGTTACCCTTTCTGACTTCCAGCGTTATCTAGTCCGACTATTGCAGCATTCACCGATTGAGTATTACTGTACTACCACGTAGATAAAGACGAGCGAACCTATCGGCCGTGGCCGAGCGTTCCCCGTCTGTTGGTTCCTTACCTTGTCTACGGGTGCGGTGAAGATAGGTTCGTCCTCGTCTTCTCTGGACTCCACCGAAGGATAGAGTCGCAGCTGATAGCCCCTGAGCGTGCCATGGGACTCGGACCAGTCGCCATCCCTCTGTGAAACGGGGAGGGGGCGGGTCAGCACAGCACTGATGTGGGCTGAACATCACGTGAGTGGAACTTATGTTGTTAACTTGTTGTCCTTGGTTAATGTCTGGACGAGCGAATGCATACAGAATACACGCTTGTAAGACCTAAATATTGTGAGCAAGTCTGAATGTTATGTTGCTGAGTGCGCGTATGTACGGTTGGGCTATTGTGTGATCGAGCGGCGTGGCTGTAAGTGTTTCTGTAATCTCGATGGCCGCGCGCTCGAACACTGCTGTTTTCTTGTTCTGACCTGTTGATATGCATGCATAATGTATATAAACTCTATTCGTGGAAGGCAGTGTCGTATACGTATTGTTATGTGATGTTAATGGGTTTCAGCTACCGTAAAACGGGGCTATAAGGGACAGGTTTTGACTTTGACAACCTGTCATTCAAAGGTTATTGCTTACACAGGCTTCAAACTTTGTCACTTTTCAGGTCTTGACTAGGTCTGTCTTTTGGCATAATATGCATTTTATTGGTATCATAGATGTATGATTTTTTTTATTTTTGTTGCTTGTCCCTTATAGCCCCGCACCGGGGTTTTAAGGGACGAGCACTGTTATGGCCTTTTAAACTCTAGTAGCACCATCCAATGGGCTTTAAGGGACACAGACTATGTTTTTAAAAATGTTTACTGCTTTCCTGTGCAAAATATTTGTTTTTTAAGTGCACATACAATGGATTGGCATCCATCAAAGTTTCCAATGGAGGACGGAAAAGGTAACTTCCTTTTTCAACATAAATACCATAAAGGAAACTCAAATATGGAAACATAATAATGTGTTATTATCAAAACACAAATGATATGAGTACAACCACTTGATAATGAGGCATTCTCCTGCCATTCTGAACTCCAGAACACCATCCACCAGAAGACTGCAGAGAGTCTCTGGCAGCTCCTTGGAGCTGGAGGTGTTTGATATCAGCTCACTCATTGTATTCCTTGACCTCTTTGATTTCCATGATTCCCCTGGTGAGGTATTTGGGTTCTTGGATCTTTTGCACAATGTCTGAGAAGGGGTACACCACAGGACATCCTCTGTCCTCTCCAAGGAATGTGGGATGGCCCGGTTTTCAGGTAGCAGGTGCCTTATTGTGCCTACATGACACTTTTTGGGATCCCAAACTTCTGCTCAGCTACCCTGAAAGGCATCCCTCTGTTCACTGCATCCACAGCTTTCATGATTACATCTTTCGAATATGTTTTCCTTGTTTTAACTCCTCGCTTTGACTGGTAATGACGGTGTCCCTTAAAGCCCCGTTTTGACATCAAAATCTACCTGAAACAGAAAAAAGCGGAAATGAGGATGAGGCAAGGAGGGCACATGGATGTAATTTCATGGGCATCTTCAGGATACATGTGGTCATTGACTATACCTTTGTGAAGGTCCCAGAGTCCGTGGTTGTGTTTCCACAAGCAAAGTTTTCGGGGTTACAATTTTGTTGCGAATTTGGCACTTTTTTCAAAAGCTCATAGCATGAGAACAACAACAAGCATCTTGGAAATGGTGATGTGGCATGCATGTCCAGACATCAGTGTTTCATATTATATATCTATTTCCTTTTGTTTCTCGTTCACTGTATTACCCAGATCCCTCAAAACTTTTTCCCGAAATTTGTCCCCTATAACCCCACTGTCCCTTATAGCCCCGTTTTACGGTACTGTTTTCATAGTATACGAATAACGTTTATAAACGTGGGCGTGTAACATAAACGGTGATCACTGAATTGTTGATTGATTTCTACATTTTACGATAGATATGACTGATTTGGGTAGTCAAGTATCATGCTATCCCCGTCATACCTTGCATGTGCTTGTTAAAATATGTTTAAAATGAAAATATATCTAGCAAGACGTATTCTTCTCCGTTAGTCGCAGGAAAGCTCATTCGATTAACGAGTACGTGAGGACACAACGCACCGACCACTGGCGAACCCAACCGCAAGCTTGAAATTAATAATGCTAGTAAGGCAGCTCATTAGTCAAGCCTTTGCTACCGCGACGTCCCAACGTTCAAAATTTAGCGAGTCGAATGGACAACTTACAAACTTTTTTATCAAATTATAGATGCCTAGCAGCATAGACCTCTGCATACAGATTACAGAGGTGTGTATATGCTAACAATAACGTTTAACCCATCCACACACTCAGTGTCGCCTCATCCAAAACCTCCCATCGCCATCCTTTCACAGCAGGGTGTAAGCTAAATCTCTCCCCACCTTCTCTACCTTCCTACGCGTCGCTCGAGGAAAGGAGCCTCCTCCACTGCGAAGAAAGGCAGACAGTCCGACCGGCGCCCGACGCTAACAAATTGCTCGGCCGCACGAGCCAGCCGCGTGTGGTAATGGAGCCGCCATTACCAGCGCCACCCCCGCTGAGCGGTCCCGATGGAACACAGGTGGACACACACGCATTGCCACACCGGGTCCAGGGAGGCAGTGCGGACACGGTCTGGCCGCCGGACAGGGTCTGCTCGGTAGGGCAGTGTCTGAACCGGTGTGACAGTGTCTGATGGGCCGGACAATGTTCAACTTGCCTAACAGAACTGCGTTTAGAAAACAAACCCCTCGGTGGGCCTTGCAGTGGGGTGTGCCGAAGCGACGCGTGCAAAAGACGGTAAAATTTGCAGGATATCGCGGCACTTGGTGGTTAGAAGCGGAATTTCTGTCTTACATTTGTACATTTTGACGCATTACCAGTGACGAATGATGCGTCACTATGGTATATGACGCAACGACACCGAATCGACAGACAACTAAATACTCAACAATGCCAGTTACAAGAGAAGGCAAATTTGACAGGTAGAAGAACAGTTATTATGTCACGAAGAGTAAAATGTTGACTGTCAATGCACGAGCTATTTCATTATATGGAGTGCATCAAATTACATTGAAACACTTTTCGTCTGTTTCGCATTAGCGACTCTTTTATATACCAGTGAGCATTGCGAAAAGGTACAATAAAATGGCACACCACATGGCCCTGTATTCAAATGACATTCCTTGCACGAACCTAATGCACAGCACGCTCCCTGACTTTCTCCATTAAAACGTAATGAAAGGCCGGCACTTTGCACCTCGTCCAGTCAAGAACATTCAACCGCCAACCACCGTACGGGTCGATGAAGTGCGAATGTAGCTAAGGCCGACGCGGCAACACCGTCCAATTCTACGAGCTGTCGCTCAGCTAGTCATAGCACGAGGCTCGTGAGGCACGGGGCGTCACCCTGGACAACCCGGGCCGTTCGGCCCCGTCCCGAACGGCCCACCGACTGCCCGACGCCGCCAAACTTGCCCGTCAACTTGGAACGCCGTGACGAGAATGAAATCATGCCAACTAGGCCTACATTATTCGTGGAAATGTCGCAGTCACAGACGATTGGTTATTTTCATACTTGGATATTTAATGAGCTGACATCCGAGGAAAAAGTGCTGAACGAAATGGCGTCCAAAGAAAATGGAAGTGTGAAATATTGCAGAAGAGAGCTCTTGGATAACTCATCACTCATCAAAAGCTGAATAACAAAGCTAGAATAATATGACATTCCCCGTGGAAAAAAAAATAAATTTAGAAACATCTACACATGACTAAACAATGGTGTACCTAACTAGTATCAATACGCAAAAATGTTACCGGCAAAAGCATTTTCATCTATGAATGAATAAAACCTGGTCTAATTGAATAAAACCTGCACCTCCCAGGCACCACCCATGATAAGATGTGCACTAAAACGGTCGAATTCGTTTCCCGCAAATTCACCGCATAAACCAAAGCTACTCCAACTCATGAAATATTACTCAGGATGCACCAGGCTAATTCACCATTATTACCCAAGTTCTGCGTGCCCAATAGCTAGAACAATACCAATGTGCTATTCATCTGCTGATTCAAAGCCGATCCTATTCATTCTGAAGACAATGCGTCCACAGTTCAGGGACGGGCGAACTGAGAGAATCAAACCATACAAGATGTGGAATAAAGCTTCGAATTTGAACTGGCTCACACTAGGACGGGCCGAGTCGCCAAGAGAGACCGTCCTTTGACATTCGTCATATCAATTTTTTTTCAGAGTTGTCTACCTCTAGCATCAAAGAGCACCTCCTCTGTTTCCCTGACGCACTTACGGCTATTCTAAGAAAACCTGACGTGTGTGCCGTCCATCTAGTCCGCCACAATGCTTTAACAGTCCGCAAAATTACTCAAGGAAAATACTTACAAAATCATTAGACACACATCAGTCAACGATTCGTCAGAAGGCACATACTGAGGACTGGACAGATTGAAGGTTCGACTCTGAAATATAATGCCTGTGAGATGCCTCGGTTTTCCGGTTTTCCATGAAAAGCAAGAGTTTTGGTGCGATACGACTGTGTGTCTGTGTGGAGGTTATTCGATGTTTATAATTCATTCCCGGCGCATACATTTCTCCGATGGGCGTTGCCGTTCCTTTTCTGCAATGCATTGTTCAGCGGTACCTTGCAATCGTAAGGGCACATCACAGAAGGTTTGCATAATTACTCAGTCCGGCGTCTATTTCCAACCGGTGGAATAAAGAATCCAAGGAACTGATTGCTACTCGTCAAAGAATGATTCGCATCACATGCAACCAAGAGGCTGGGTTCCGTTTAAAATACGGTAAAATCAACTCAATCACTACACTCAGCTACCGCAGCTATTGATGTGGAATTATGACCCGCACGCCCGCCTATGCTAAGCCCATCGAGCGCACCCAGACTGTAAGAGACTAAAACCACCCCTCACTGGCTCACGGTGGTACTCGCTGTTCACATGTCGCCCCTGACCTGTTTGAAAACAAACATTGTTACCTCAGTGAAGGCTTCCCTCATC